TGCAGACATGGAGCAGAAGATCCAGCAGCTGCTTCACAGAACAAACCAGAAAGCTGCTGAAGTGTCCGACCTGCTGGAGACGGCTGAGTCAATTCGACAGGAAATCTCCACTCAACTATACACTGACTGTACTGGATAAATATACTGTGATAAATACCAGTGAGTACTGCAAACAGCAGTGCTGCCCAGAATCTGCTGTAGCTGAATTTAATCAGAATCTTATTCACTGTTTGTACCTTTTTTTCCTTTGTTTCAAGTTTTCAAACTTTTCAAAGTTTTTCTGATGAGGTTTTGAGTTGTTTTTAAATACAGTATGCTACAATAGAAATGCCTTTAGAAATATGACGACAGAAAACTACACAGATGAACATTTTTCAATTATTTTGTAATAAACTCTTCATCAAATAGCTTCATGCCTGATATGACAGAAATGTCCAATTAAAACTTTATGGATAAAACAAATATTAAGACTTGTTATATTTATGTTTGGATTTGGTTTAAATCAGTAAATCTGACAGACACAAATGCCTGAGTGATGCAGGAGTCTCTCTCCATTATCTCTGGGGAAATTGAGAACAATCCATTACCTTTCTTCTCCTACAGTTTCTCGTTGATGTAGTCACCTATGTAAGATGAACTTTTTAGAGCACTGAACTCCTCCTGCTGTTCCTTTCTGATAATAACACATTTCTCAACCATTCTGAGAAAAAAGGCGATGGACATGAAAGATGGTCCTCAGTAGTGTGAGTCATTTATTCCCTTTGCTCCAATTGCACTCAATGACTTAACTACAGTAATGAGTAAAATGAATTTGTGTGATTGACCAAGAAAACTTACATGATAGGCTAAAAGGTTTGCCTGGTGTCTCTGGCTCCTGTTAGACTGGGTTTGTTTCTACTGGTGGGACCTCTCACACTGCATCTCTAACCTGTAGGGTTCCACAAGGTTCAGTTCTGAGTCCATTATTTTCTTCCTGCTTTCTGCTTCCTTTAACCTCCTAAGACCCGAACTCTTCCACTGCAGCATTTTTAATTTCTCTTTGATATTTGGGCATATTGGGGCCTGATGAAGGTAAAAACAAAGAATTACCAGATTTTTTTTTTTTACCTTATTTTTGTTTTTAAGAAAAATGAGAGCCACAAATGAGGATATTCATTTAAAAATTGATAGAACAGCAGCAGTATAATGTCCTCGTAAGTGGATATCAGGCCCATGTAGAGCAAAATTGAGTATTTTGGTCTAAATAACCCAAAGTGTGATGTCCACATATGTGGACGGTAAGTCCTACGAGGTGGCATTATTCAATCTTTTAATAACATTTTTCATTATTTCTATGCTGATGACATCCAGCTGTACATGTTTTTAAGCCTCATGAGCTGGATAGGCTGTCCACCCTAGTTCACTGCTTAACTCAGGTTACTGATTGGCTCTCTAGCAGTTACCTTGTTTTAACTGCCAGAAGGACTGAGACCATAATTATAGCCCTTGTAAACTAAATCCAACATCAGTCAGCTCCTTGCTTCTTTTTGTTTAACTACTAAATGTTGGTGTAATAATTGATTCTTCTCTGGGCTTTGACTCTCATGTAAAATCTTTGTCTCATTCTTATTTATTCCAGTTAAGGAACATGTCTAACATTTCTTCTCTTCTTTGCATTCAGATTATTTTAATGCCCTGTTTACCAGCTTAAATA